TAGTGAAGGGCTTACAATTTAACATTTATAAGAACCTATTCTGATTGCTTGTACCATTACCCAACAATTTAAACTTTTGAAAAAGTATTAACTTATGATATTTCATGATTGTAATTTGTAGCATAACTGACCGTGCCTGTAAAATTGGCATGCATTTCTTGTAAACACCCGCTTATTATTATTTTTATAAAGTTAACACCTACTCCTGTTGTTCGTATCCGCTACTCTATTGGGACCTGGCTGTGGAGGAAAACAACACCTTGTTTGTGTAGAACTGTGTTTCCACTGAAACTGTCGTAATTTGTATAGTAGAACTAATATGGTTAGCACTACATAATGGAAGTGGGAATTATCCTTTTAAGAATCGTACAGCTGCTTATAGATCTTCCATAATTATATTTTTAATGAAACTGTTTGACCACTTTATTGTTTCTCAGAACGCTTTTCTCCCAGAAATAGATTTCAGTCATACGTGGATGAAAACTAAATGCCTGTCCACTACTGACGACGGGTTTACAATTTGACATTCATATGGCACCTTTCCGACAACTTATTTTATAAATCAACTATTTGAACCATCGAAGCAGCACTAATTTATCAACATTCGACGCTCTGAGATCATATCAGGTTTGGTCGTTCTTTTCATATAAAACTAATTCATGTACGTACGCTATACTCCTAAAGAAACTAATTTTACGTCCACTTGTGGAATATTTGCCACTGTATCATTGAAAATTGTTTTTCGTTTGTTGCATGTATATTTTATGCGGTTATGCGCTTTTTGTGCCCGCCTTGAGCTTTTTGAAATTTGATTTTGTTAAAAATACATCTTTTCAAGTTTCACTTGTGCTTCTTATCACAATGTTGATCGTCTTTGACCGCGAACAGTGTTAGCGCATAGTAGAACGTGAAAACGTGGATTTACTATAGCATCATGACTGGAATCATAATAAGTTCACTATACAGGTTGTTATGTATGGTATGATATAAAGTTGGGTTGGGCGTGATAGACATTATCCGTCTACGTTGATCTGCATTACGCATGAATTAATCAATGCCTCACTGTCGTCATCATTAGATTGTGTTTTATAAATCGGCCTAGTTACCTTATGAGTAGGACTGAGGTAAGCCACTGTTAAATCATTGGCACTGGGGGAGGTTTATTGTTCCTTACGACACTAGTCAGATATGCAGGAAATTAGAGAAGACACAGAACGATCCCTTGGATAATGGCAATCAGATTTAATGTGGTAGTGGATGGTGTACTGCCAGTGTTACTAGTTTGAGACTGATCATAAGTAAATGGATTTGCGCCACTATAACATCCTATATACTACTACGTCTGGGTCTGACAATATTGTAAAAATGTTGTGGATCCTGCCTACTTATGGATCAGAAGTTCACTTCCATAGGTACTGCTTCTGAAATATCACTAATTTGTATATTAACCCAGACATTCATAATAGGTGCCCAGTATTACTTTTACGAGCTAGTGTACACCAAGTTGGTTTCTCTATGCTCTCTTCTTGGCTGCAAAGTAAGGTTTCCTAGTATTCGGTGAACTTGTGCGTAGTTTGTATCGCCACCCGACTGTCGTAGATTGGTTAACTCGAAAAGGAGGGTTGCTTAGATTGATTATGTGTGCTTTGTAGTATTCGGTGTGTTACGACTGTGTCGCTACTGGGAATGGGGCCAATCCTTTCGCCCATCAGTCTTCCAGGGTGGTCGAAGAAAGAGGAAACAATGGTAATAGATATAATTGGTGTGGAATATGTGCACTGACAACTAATGATTATTGAAATTAATATATATATACATATATTTATATTAGTAACGGCCATAATACAAGGGAATTAATAGATAGAGTAGTCAGAAGAGTAAGACAAGGAGGAATGAGAGGAAGTTAGAGGATAAATTCTCGTGTATAACGGTTAAGAGTATGAGTTTTAAGAGGATAGGCCGTTTGGACACAGTCCTTTCATTGTTGCATTGTTATCGAGCCTCCGATTAAAGCCTTCTGAGGACGATGCAGTGACCATATCTGCTAGCCGAGTGTTGTAGCGGCGGCAAAGCTGTCAGGTGAGCTATTCTTCGTGGATTGCCGAGAGGAGTCCCATACGTAGTTGATAACAGAATACCTTGGTCTGGGTGGTTCTGTCCATTTGTAATCTTATAGTTAGTAATTAAGTCAACCCTATGTCTACGGTAGCTCAGTGTGAAAAGGCCTGATTTCTTCAGCCGTTCATCACATGGTTTATTTCAGAGACCCATCACTCCTTCTGCCGGCTTTCTTCTGATTCTTTCCAAAAGGTTAGTGTATCTTTTAAGTAACGGGGAGTAGTGATATTATGCACTTCAAGTTGTAGTCTTACATGTTTCTTGTGAAACTTCAGAAAGGCCTCAGAAGTGAGCCCACCTAAATGTTTTTTCGTAAAGTGTACAACCGCAGATGCTCTTGTCACATTACCCGTGTAATTCACACTTGTGTCCACTTTTTCCGTCAGAACTAGACCTAAGTCACGCTCTAGCGTTAAAAGGACAAGTTGTGGTTTCGCAAAGTGCAACTTACATTCTACAGTCTACAGGTGCGAAGTTGCACTACTTCGCATTTTTTCAGGTTGGAAGCCATTTCACTAACTATCACCCAATTTATTTTCATCTAGCTAATTCTCTAACCATGATAGAAGCAGTCCACAAATTTCTGCCCGACTTATTTTATGTAAGACAGGGTCATGCTGAACTATGTCAAACACTTTCGCGAAGTAGAGGAATATCATATGGATTAGAATATTCATATCCCAGCATGACGTCCAATAATTCCAAGCTGATAGGTTTGTCACCTCTCCTGTATTCATGCTGTGCTTCATGTAGCATGCTAGTCCTACCGAGGTGTCGCCTGATGTGATCCGTAACTTGTGGAATCTACTGATCCCTACCCTTAAAGATTGGAGAAAGGATGGCTCTCTTCCACTTCCCTAGCAGTTTCCCGGAATCCATTGAGTGTTGGAAAAGGTTGCATAGGGGCCTACAGATAGCTTCAGCGACGATCGATCACAGCCTGGGTTCTTTCCAGAGGTGAGTTTCTGAAACTCCCCTAGTACCACTGAGGGATTTACTTGGAGTGAACTGGTTGGGTTTTCTTTTGGTAAGTAAATTGCGCAGCCTCTACGGTTTCTACTGGAAATACTCTCATTGATACTTAGCTGTCTGTCAAAGGCCGAACTAAGTGTTTCAGCCAGTCCGAAACTAGTGAGATAGTAACCATTTGAACCTGCTAATACGCATGCCGCGTGGATGATAAGCTTCCTCACCAACATGAATTAGTACAAGAGTTTTATGAGAATATTTCCCTGAAATGAGCCCGCGTCGCTCCTGATTCTTTTGTTACATCGGTTCCTGAGTTCGAGGCACGTCTCTTGGTTGGTCTAACTTTTGGGAAGTTTTCATGTAGTCCGGGATTTCCGCTGAGTCCCTCTCTTCAGCCGTGGCGATTGTTCCTTAGGTTATAGTGCGACTATAGAGATGGCATCTGAGGTTGCTGAGTGAATGATCCCTTTTACCATTTACCGGTGTTCCTCGGCTGATAGCTCAGCCAAGCCTGTAGACCATTCTACGTGAAACAAAAGCCTTTTCATTTCGGTGTAGTCGGCTTCGTTGTAGCACAGATAGGGTTGCGTAGCATCCCATTGTAATTACTCTGAGAGAACCAAATCAAACACCATAACCTCATGGTCACTGCAACCTAAAGGGGTTATGACTTGAACGTTTACAACTAATAACTGGTCACTAGTCGGACAATAGTCCAGTTTCGATGAATTTCTACTAAGTCTCCAGCTGGCATCGTCCCCGAAGTTCTCAGTCAATTCTTGATTTCTAATAATGTATAGAAGACTACGACCGAATTTTCCTTGAGCATATCCTAAGCTGAGGTTAAGAGATGGAGCATCAAGGTCTCCAGATATAATGACTTGGTTATACCCCAAATCCCGTACTCCTTTTAATGTGCTGAGCAGTAGATGTTTATGTTCTGCTCTCCAGAAGGGTGATAGATGGATGTCACCTAATAAATGCTTGGTGTGGCCTACCGTGAAATGAAACCATATAGAGTATGAAGTTCAATAAGCAGTGAGTGTTGCTCGTACGCATCTAAACTGCTTGTCAAAGTATATGACAACTCCCTTTTCCTTGTTGTCCCTGTCTCCTCTGACCACAGTCATATCACTTACTCATTGTCAGTAATGGTTGGGGTTGGCCAGGTTTCCATCAGAGTTATTATTTGTGGTGTAGGTGCGATTAGAAGTTTCTTGGTTCAGACATTTTCCCTCTCAGCCCTCTTACATTACTATATGGGCAACTGACAGTGAGTTTCGCCACTTCACCTTGTTGTAGGGTGGTTGACGCTGAGTAGGCTGGAACTTGCCTGTTGCCGTATTCTTCCTCGGGTTTGGTTAGGACAGTTGGGGATCCTGGTTCTCATTCTCAGTTCTGTACCTCTGTATTGCCACTGAAGTATAAGGACGTACTGTACATACTAACTCTACCACCTCCTTAAAGTCCGAGGTCGGCTCTTGCAGCATCGGATATGTCCACCAACTCTACCCTAGATCTGAAACCGCTGTTGAAGCACAATGGCCACCTGCTTCTGGAGGCTGAATTTGATAGCTAGTTGCCGTAGTGGGCTGATCAATGTGAGGTGAGCGGTGCGAAGTAGACTAAATATCGAGAGTGCCGTTCTTTAGAAGAAGATCAGGTCATACAGGTACCACAAACATAGTGGACTACAAGGCAATAATAGTATTCTTATAGAAACATTAGACCCTTGAAGAGACTCCCTGAGGAAGTAATAACTGTACATCCACTTAATTTGCTCTCACAGAAATGAAGAAGAATGATTGCCTGGCCTAAAGAAATAGCAAAAAACATTAGTTCCCCCATCCTTTTCCAAAAACATGCGTCCAAAGTTATTTTGAAACGAAAATACGCTTTTTATTGTATCGGTGCAGCGGATGACCTCAAAGCCCGCGAATGTCATCTGTCCAAAGCCTTGTCGGTTTCCTTGAAGGTAAGTAGCATGGCATTTTAACACAATCAATGTGATTATTGTATTACTGCATGTATTCCAACTGAGATTCCATTTTGTTACAGACATAAATGGATACTAAAAAAGATGAAACTGTTGGATACAAGTTGAAGAAACTGTTCAGTACGAAGGAACATCCAAAAGACAAACAAAAAGATAAGTATAGGAGAGATACGAGAAGTAATGAGTCGATACCAGCACCTGAAAATATGAGCGATATGAGCGCCGATGAAGTAGAGCGGAGATTTTTACAGATGTTGGAGGATATGAACCTGTCTAAGGATCAAACTATATCTTTAAGAGAAAAGCCATTAAAAACCAAACTTGAAATGCTTGAGACATATGGAAAGAAGCTTGGCTCTACCAAGAATGCTGCTGATTATTGTTCAAAAGTTTTGTTGGTTCCACAAAATTACTCCACGAAGCAGATATTAAATGCTTTAGAAAACCTTCGTGTCAACCTGTTGAATAATGGTGTTAGTTGGGTGCGTGAATTTAATAATAGCTCTAACAACGGTCTTAACAACTTACTCCACTTCTTGGCCCTCACACTGTCAAATTCATATCCGAATTGTGCCCTTCCATGTTTACGCTGTATTCGTGCTCTTGGGAATTGTGGTTATGGGATGTATGCTTTAGTAGATCATGAAACTGCGTGTATATTTATTGCAAGATGTTTGGATTCAGATCAATCACCTTTGGTGGACTGCGCAATTGAGCTGCTTTCTAGTATTGCTTTGTGCAACGCTAAAGGATATCGAAATGTTTTGAATGGATTAACCTTAAGCGCTGAGCTCAGTGGGACGCCTGATGAACGTTTTATGCCTCTAGTAAAATCTCTAGGTTGTGCTGAACTTGCACGATCTTCTTTGCAATTCATTAATGTCCTGGTAAATGGAAGTTGTTTTGATGAATGTTCCTCTGATGTTGACTACCGAGTTCATTTACGATGTGAGTTTAATAACCTCGGGATCGCTGAAATGATCAGTAAACTTGAAAGCTCTCAAGATACTGATATCCAAAACCACATAACTATATATCGTTCCAGAGCCGAGCAGGATTTGGATGAAGTTTTTGAGCGAATAGATGCAGTTAAGTGCGATTTGGATGACCCTAATCAAGTGTTTCACGTCCTTCTTCGAAGTGTAGTGGGGACCAGGTCAGAAAAACATTTCTTGTCAATATTACAGCACTTTCTGTTTATTCGCGATGAGCCGTATAGGTTGGCATATTTCACTCTTCTTGAAGAATTGATTGGTCAGGTTTTGATACAGAATGATGGAATTGATCCCGATCCACACATGAGTCTCCTGCGTCTGGATGTTGAAGCCACTGTTACATTACTGGTGGACGCACTGAAAGAAGCTGATGCTTCAACTCGGGTTGAGGAGCTCCAGTCCAAATTAAACGCTGCTCTACAAGCTAAACTTGAAGCCGAAGCCAAGGTACAAACATTACAAAGCAAATTAGGAAATACAGAAGGGCTTGGGATAAAGACTCCTCCGGGATTAGAGGATAAACTTAGTTCTCGTGACATTCCACCTCCACCTCCCTTAAAATGTGATATTCCTCCGCCACCACCCATGTTTCCACCGGGAGGTGACGTACCTCCCCCTCCCCCTATGGGAGGTGCTATTCCCCCACCGCCACCAATGAGCGTTCCTCCACCACCACCGATGGGTGGGGCTCCTCCTCCACCACCACCAATGGGGATCGGCGCTCCCCCTCCAGGCAACTTACAACCTCCTAAGCCTGCACAACCAGATCTTCCATTTGGTATGAAACCAAAAAAGAAATACACCCCGGATGTCCCTATGAAGAAAGCCAACTGGGAAAAAATCAAACCTAATATGCTTGATAAAAGTTCAGTATGGGTTCAGCTTCGAGAAGATGAATTGGAGTGTAGTGATCTGTTAAAAAATTTAAGTGCTCAGTTTAGCACAAAACCGGCCAAAGTAATGGTAACCGATCCTACTTCAAATGGAGCATCAGTTGTTGAAACTGCACAAGGTATTCAGTCGCGAAAAGCGAAGAAACTAAGATATTTGGATGATAAAGTGGCTCAAAACTTGTCTATTCTTCTTGGTTCACTTAAAGTGCCATATGATGAACTTCGTCGGCGTATCTTGAGTGTAGATGAGAGCTTATTAACTCCTAATATGGTAGAGCAGTTAATCAAAGCCTTACCAGAGCCAACTGTTATTTCAAAAATCTACACTCTCAAAGATGAGTATGACAGTTTGTCAGAACCCGAACAGTTTGTGTGCAAAGTGAGTGATATTAAGAAACTCATACCTAGACTTAATTCAATTCTATTCAAAATGAGATTTGATGAAAAGCTAAGTGAGGTGAAACCAGAAATAGTTGATGTTGATGAAGCACTACGTGAGATACACACAAGCACACATTTTAAACGTATACTGGAGTTGGTTCTACTATTAGGCAACTACATGAATGCAGGCTCACGGAATGCTGAGGCGATAGGGTTTGAAATAAGCTTTTTGACCAAGTTAGAATCGACAAAAGACATTTCCAATACACAGACTTTGCTTCACTTTTTGGTTGAGTCTTTAGACCAAAAATTTCCGGAAACTGTCAAGGGATTCTTAGATGATTTTTCGCATGTTGAACGTGCTTGTCGAGTTTCTGATGAGAACTTGAAGATTAATATAGCAGAAATGAAGAAGTCAGTCTCTAGTATTGAAATTGATCTGAAAACATACAAAGTCCAAGATCCAATTGACAACTACATGACTGTGATGCAAGAGTTTCTCGCATTAGCTAAAGAGCAGGTTTCTCAAGTAGAAATGATGCACAAACGTATGCAAGAAAAGTTTACAACAGTCTCTAAGTACTTGGCTTTTGACCCAAACAAATATCACATGGAGAATCTGTTTTCTGATTTAAAAGACTTCCATGTTGCATTCAAACGTTCTGCTTCCGACATGATAAAAAAGCGTGCATTAGAGGAGAAAATGAAAAAGGTGAGAGAAGAACAAGCTCGTCGTCAGCGTGAACGTGAAGAGAAATCTGCTTTAAATAACTCTGGTACTAGAGCACCTACTGAGGAGGAGGGTAATGTTATTGATAACTTGATGGAAGCTTTGAAATCTGGTGCTGCTTTTGCCAATGGAGCTGAAAGATCTGCAACCAAACGTAATCGTAATCGTGTTAATCCAGCTGCAGCCAGTCTAGCATCAGTCGCCTCACCGTCTGCTATTCGACAAAAGCATCTAATGCGCACTAGATCTCGTAATTATGGTGACTTAAATCGTTCAGTTGTTGATGTCGCATAAAATATCTAACAGTTAACTTTAAAAAAAAACACTTGCATAAAGCGCCATCAATAAACACTGTAAAGGATTCTTATATATATATATAGCTCATAATTCAGATTTGGATACGTATTTACTTCATTTTTATTGTACAGCTTATTCATGACTTTCATCTCTGGCTTTGTGTAAATTTTTAGACATATGTACATTTTTGTATTACAAAAACAATATGATTTTTGAAGGTATCTCACTGCTAACTTTGATTTACTAATTATTTATGTATGAGTACATATGTTTTTGTCACGTAAGCATTATCAGTTCTGGTGTCTGTTCTGCTATTTATTAGGCTTTTAGTTGGTTAAAAGATTCTAGGCAAATGCGTTTACAGAAGTTGACGGTCTAAGTGTTAATATAGTGCTTGTAGTAAGTAGAAAAGTGAGTGTGAAGTGAGAGAAATAGTTTTTTTTAAATTCATTATTCTTTGTTTCAAGTTATTTTTAAAATTTTTAGTTTCTCAGTGTTATAGTAGGAAATGTTGCTTTTTGGATGTAACACTTAACTTTCATATAACAGGTCCAAGGTCCTGTTACACTCCACCTACTTCGGTGTGAGTGACTAGGCTGTATGTATCCGACTGCCACACGGTAAATGGGGCTCGTGAAAAACCTCTCTCGGTTCACTGTATCTTAAAGGATACATTGGTTTTGTTAACAGGCATTCAAACCCTCATGGCGTAACACCTAACTGCTCAGTTTGCGTATGCAGATTAAACTTGACATAAAACTATTTTACGCAGTAGGAGCGAAATTGATGCAGATTATTTTGCAACTCTATAGTACGTAAAGACGATTAGTTTCCGTTCGAGTTGCTAATATTCATGTCCGTGTGCATATTTTCCATGTTCTTGTAACATCGAGTCCCGCTAATTACTCTTAACTGGCGGAATTTTTCTTAATGTACTGTATTTTTCGAATCACTAGGCGTTTTCTAGTGTCATAAATTATATTGACTTTAAGAGAGCACAGATGCTACACTAAATATGATTCTGTGTTAATATTAGTTCCATTATCATATATTACTGATAGATAGTTCTCGCACTATATTTACTTATTGCCTGATATTCCCCCCCCCTCTTTTTTATAATAATGCGATTGAAATGTCGTGGGTAGCTGTTTCCAAAAATCAGATATCGTTAAACAGTTGTTGTCAAGACGTTTTTCTCAACTTATTTTTTTATCGTGTCCGCCTATCTAGTTAGGTAGTCCACTGTTGTTATGTACGTCTGCTGAACTAAATAGCTAAAGCAGATAAAACCGAATGCAGTTGTATCATCATAGAGTCTTTTTTATTTGAGTAGTTCGTACTGTGAAATTGTTCTGAAAGTGATTGTTATCAGATCTTTATTTGGGGGAAAGTAGCACTTCATGTGACTTTACTGGTATTTTGTGAAGAAGTTAGGGTTATATGTGGTATGGTTCTCCAGAGAACAGAACAAATAGTTCTGATCACTTTTGTTCGATTGAGTATAAACAAACACTTTCAGTGAAGTATAGATACTCAGAAGTGTTGATTATCTGAGATTAACCACCTGAGAAAGTCCAACCCTTCATTTTGTCCTTGTTCGCTATTATCTTTCAACTCAACTGTCGCCTCAAGAATCCGTCGTCTTTTGATCCAGAATAGTTGCAAACAATATCTCCGTGTCGACCACGTGAGATAGTGAGTGTACCTCTTGTTCCTCAAATATTTGAATAAGATCCAAGTAGGGCTTTTAAGATTGACATTACACATCAGTTGATCGACCCGATGCAAAAGTGTTACATGGGCAAATCATCGCCAGCTTGCATATGTGGACATATTACTGAAAAGGCATATTTTCATAACTACTATGTCTCACTCGATAGCATCCACAATCGATTCGATTGGCTTCTTTTGTGAAGTACGAAACATTTCTTATGCAATTTTTGTATATGTATATGTATTAACTCAGTAGTTGTTAGAGTCACGAAACGAAAGTGAGCTAAAACTTATATTTTGAGTCACTCTCATACAATTATAAATTCTCCAGTGTCTAGAATTTCGGCGTTTAGGACAATGATACCGAACTAAAGCCGAAGGTGTATTATTATGGGATCAGTAGTAGTTTGACATAGTATGTGTAATAATTTTCACAAGTTCAGCAATAGAATGCTCACCAACCACACAAGTGGTCCAGGTTTCAGTCTCCGGCAGACACGCACTCCTAAACGTAAGCTTAGCTGGAAGTGAGCTAGGTAAAGAGGAAAGGTTGTGCCTAAGATTAGCAACTTCACACCGTAAAAAAAATAATACCACTGCTAATGAAACTTCAACTGTCAAGTTTGAAGCCCTTTGTTCCACTGAAAACGCAAGCAATAATGTAAAAGTAATAAAATAATCAGCTTTTTTTTGAATGATTAATAGAAGCAACTTTCTGCCGTAGGTAGCTTAGGTGTCCCCTTGATCCTAAAATCTAGTGGTTGAATCCAAAGTCTCTGGACAGAAGTACGTTACTTCATCCTCCTAGGGCATGTCCTGACTCCTTTTAGTTACAGAAAGCAAGTTACTGAAGTGTGTTTAGCTCCTCACTTACTGGAAGAATTTAAATCGTTGTATTGACAAAGCTGCTCAAATGGCGTTTGGCAGGTTTCGTAATCTGCGATCGTTGTTATGGGAATGAATTCTCTCTGCAATGTACCAAGATTTCTTTTGTTTTTTTTTTACAGTTGAAGTGAAAGAATGTAAAAAAAATACGACAGCTATTCTAGGCGTACTGTCGAAGTTGAGGTTAAGAGTAGTTGGAGAAAAGAATATGAATATGTCTGCGCTATGCCGTTGATTTAAAATCCTGTCGTCCAGCTTCTAAAAATAGCCAATTCACTTTTGTTTTGCGACCGTAAGGCATAAGTCTCAATCTCAAACGAATCAAACTAGCATCCAACTGCCTTCAAACGTAATCTTATTCTAGCGTGTTGGGTTAGACCTAAAGTAGACATGTAATATATGATCGAGACACTTGTCGATGAAAATTAAGAACCTCATCAACTTATGAGTCTTTCACGCTTATTAATATTTGTGTACTACTTGCATTGTCCATATATTGTTCCAGTTATACACGCCTAATTTCCATTAAAGTTACCCTGGGGAAATATCCGAATATCTCTTACACTTTTTATTGGCCTCTGTCGATTAATACAGCCTTCATGGGTGGTGCCAGGCTATCTTGGCATTATTTACGGAAGTTGACTGTGTTGGTGCTAGCATGGTTAACACTGCTTCTTAAGTGAATGGTAGTGATCTTGCTGAACCGTTTACTTCCCAGCTGTCAGGCACACTGTCACAGACTGGGAGGTACATCTTGAATTTTTCTAAAATGTTAGTGAGTGTATAAAAAAACTGTATGTCTGTGGCTGACTAAATAGGACTGTATTCCTGTATTTCAAGACATTTGTTTGATTCGAGCCAAATAAATATTTCTGTTAGAAATAGACTTAGACATCTCAGTGGTCCATAACGCACTGTGGGCTTTGACGTAACGATGAATCTTTGTTTTTAGAGCCTTCACTAGGATTATTTATGCATTCAGATCTATCACAAAACCTGTGCAACAGTTCGCTTTCTCCTACTTTACAGTTGTAAGACATTGTTGTTTAGGTTGGGGGATATAAAAAGACTTGCCGTCTTGATAATAGAGTGATTTCGTTCAATTCCTCATGCTACGTGGTGTGATACGATGAATAATAATGAGATTAGACATGATGTTAATTACAGGGTGAAGTCAGTTGGTAAGGCTTTAAAGATGGATGCATCATAGCAGCTAAAGCACAAGTATCGCCGGCGAGTAATGTTAACGGAAGTACTATTAGGTTGAGGAAGACTTAGGGATAGTCAGACAAAAGCATACCACTGACTACTAGTTGGAGCCACATTCGAAGGTGTAGGCTATCTTCCTCAGGTCGTCAGAATCTTAAGAATAAGATTCCGAAAGTCCTTTGTAGTCGTTACCTAATTCGCTGCTTATCATCCTACAGATTCGAAAGGTTTTCACTAGTGATATTCTCTTTTCTTCTGTCGTTGTATTTTCATTACTATTTTCCCTACTTTTTATGGTTTTCGGGAGTGTTCGGCAAAGTTTTGCGTTGATAAATCATTCACCTATCTAGCCGTCTTTTCCTGTTAAAGACAGCCATAAAGTCTCAACGTGAACTTACGTGTTAGCAAAACTGTGTCAGAAAGTGCACCGGTGACGGAATGATTGGCATCTTAGACACTGTGAGCAATACATAACCGTACAAATGCCGGCAGTGCTTTTTAAAGATGTATTCATGTTCTTATTGTAAAATACTCATCCTGCTATTGATGACTTCTTTATCTTTGTTGTTAAAAATGTATCTGGTCGTACTATTCTACCTGGTTTTTGTTTTCTGAATCCTAAAAGAAAGCTTTCTCAGGCTAGAAATGTTGGTGACATTATTATTAAGCGAGCAGCTATTTGCATATAGACCTTCGGTACCGCTATTGTTCGATGTAGTATTCTGCATATAACGTAAAGTAAGTTAGAGATCTAATAGCCCTTCCAGGTCCGAGTCCTACTCCACCTAGTTTAGCCTAGGTAATTGGATTGTGTGTGGAAAATGAGAAATTCAGGCAACTAGGGATAAGAGTTACATTTCACACGTGTCATTACTGCAACTTCAGTCACGTTCAGATTTTGTATTATGGATAGTGTTTGACATCTTTATAGAGTTTTAAGATATCAGCCTTCCAAGCATGCAGCCATGAATAAGTTAAGCAACATGTTAGAACTCACAGCATTCTACTCTAGTCCGTCTTAATAACACTCAGAATTTTCACATCATTAGTGGCTCATAGTCTACTTCAAAAACATGTGTAAGGTGTCCAAGTATGATCTGGGTAGACGGAGCGCTGATTCAAATATGTATCTAGATTCGCTGAATGGGATGACAGCGTAATATAAGGTTAGCAACCCTTGTTTATTCAAACTGCAGCTAATCATGATTTTTCTACGTCCTATATAATTTAGTTGTTGATATTTTTTTTTTATAATTAATCATTCTTAAGTTGATCGGTTCAAATTTATATAGTTTTATTAATAAAATCACCATATAACTTGACGATAGTTTGTCTCTATTGTGGAGAAAAAATTCTCTAAAGTTCATTCTCTTGATGACTAAGCAGTGCATGCTCTCTCCATCTCTTAGATATGTATACCTTAGGGTGTCTACGGTGGTAATTTTCTTTCATGGTTTTCAGATAATCTTTTATATCCAAAAGGACCAGGATTAGGTGCAGCTCAGTTGTTTAACAATACTAAATCAGCTTTTCATGTTGGCACCTTGTCTGCCATTGATTCATGGGAAATCAATGCTTACTCCCAATTCATACCATTAGTTTCTGATAGTCGTTCAACAGTTCGTGATGATATTCTTCGAGAGTGTATGCTGCATCTACCTATTCCTTTAAAGATGTCACCTACACAGACAAGAAATACTGAAGGAGTAGAGTGTCAGCGAAGCATTGATCTAGTCACAAAAGTACAAGAGGATGAGATAAGCGGTTATTTTCCAATCAAACGTCGGTTCAAGCCGTTATTCTACACGGATTCAAGGTTTGTCAATTTGTTTACATTTTTATTTTTATGTCATAGCTGTTTATTATCTAAATAATTGAACTTTATTCACATAATACACAGATTTGTTATTGCTTAAACCTGTTATACGAAAACTGTCTCGCATATTTAAATAAACGTTAGCAGACTGAGTTCGAATTTCCAACGGTAGTTTAGCTTCGGCATTACTAAAATGCATTCGCAGTTGATTTTTGTGCCTTACCAATATTCATCAATCATGTTGGCCTGTGGGTTACTGGTGAGACGATCAAAAGTTCTAACCTCTTTTCATCTATTAGGGTTTCAATTCGTATGTTATTAATAGCCTATAAATAAATGTGATTGTTGATGTTAGATGGTTGAAGGCAATCGGCAGGAAGCCTTGGACCTAGGTTTCGCACTACTTAGCACTCGTCAGCAAGGCGTATCTGCGACGTCGAAGGAACCAAACAAAGGACTAGACACATTATACTAGTTACTAACTAGTGTCCAGTCAAAGTATCCAATACAGTCCTACAGGACGTCAATCACGAGTCTGAATAGCTCAGTGGTAATGTCTCTGACTGCAGTACTCACTGGGTGACGCGGGTTCGAATCTCAGAGGGGACATGAGTTCCTTCAAGGTTGCAGATGAACGCCTTGTTTACTGGTGAATGCCGACTAGCCCGAAACCTAGGTCAGACTGGGCTTCCTGCCGATTGCCTCCAACCATCTAATATCAACAATTCAAAAGGCACCGTGATGGCGAGTCTCTTAGCATGATGCCCACATTGCAAACTTGACTGATAAAATTCAATCTGCACCAAAGAAAGGACTAGCCAGACACATCACACTAGTTACTAACTAGCGTTCAATCAAAAGTATAAGTGTGATTGGTTTGAAATGTGTCCTGACTTGACTTGGGATGTATTTCAGTGACAACAAAAATGTAGAACTTTGCCCAGAAGTGTAGCAGTTCAAGCCTCAAGCCATTGGTTCTTAGCATTCTGTGCACCCCAACCTAGAGTCTACACCTCCCTACGTGGCTGGCTCACACCAACAGTGAAAGATTTCATGGATTGATGTTCTATATCTGTAGGAATATACGACGTCCGGATTGTTTTAAATAATTCCTTGTGCAAACTAAAATTTCACTAAGAATATCTAACTTCTTTGTCCTTCATATTTCTACTTGCCACTACGAAAAGTTTAAAAATATATGATGAAAATATAATACTTTTAAAGGTATTCTTTTCCCAGATGAATATTCTCAAGATTTAGTTTGTTGGGGCTTGATTTGTTTCGATTTCGACCTCAGACTGATATTATTTAGAGAAGCATTGGAAACCAGCAGGGTGTACTGGACAGCTATCTCGTCCTAGTTTGGCACTCATTGGCAGTACGCAGTCACTGGGGTTCGAACCTCTGACCTTCCGGTTTCAAGGTAAGCTTGTAGACTATTCAGACTCTGGCACCCGACTCAATGGTCCATGAGTTCTAACTTCTAACAATTCGTGATTTTAGCGCGACCGCCACCAGCCAATGTCATCGTTGAGTGATTTGCCCTCTCTTCCCGCAGGGTGGACCCCACTGGTCATGACTTCTCAACTTCTTTCTGTAGTGAGTCTGTAGAGATTTGACTTGTTTCAAGTTTGAACACGGATTGATATCAGTTAGGGAACCATTGAATATTCGGTAAAACTAATACACACTGTATCCTAATGACAGTCGAGATTAACAAGTATGCAAAATGGGAATGTATTGAGTTATCTTCAAATCAGAATGTTGGAGATGGCAGTTATCATCAGCTATTTGGTAACACAAGTTACACTTGAAGAAATTGTCTCTATTATTTGATTAGATATTTGTTTAATGATTGTAAGACTTTAGTGATACACATCTCAGTGGCTGAGTGGTTGACGGGCTCGCCTGGTAACTCGTAGGTCCTGGGTTTGACCTCTGGTAAGGTCACTTGTGTGTACTTCTGAAGGGTCCTGAATTACGATTATGCAGCTGTCCAGTACCCCCTCTCAGATGACCAGCAAGCCAGTTATGCTGTCTCTGGCTCCGCCCTGGAGATGAGGAGATTAGAATAGGTCGATCGCGAAAATGGTCCATCCCCAATTGCTTCACGTCAGTCTGTGGCTGCCATTAAGGTCTTATTACGGACGCAGCTCCAAAAACCACTTCAAACTCGCCGTGTGTGATCATCTTCAAGCAATTGTCCCCTGGGCTCTGCGATTATGCAACTCTAATGATCCTTTTGTTTCAGGTACCCTCACACTTCCTTCTCAAGGTTAATGTGCTAGTTGTTCTTTATCTGCTTCAGGACAACTAGTCTGTATCGACTACTGAGAGGTTCTAGATATCAGTGATTGAAAGCCCTAGGTGACTTGATGTATATATATCCACATTTTATAGAAAGCATTCCCCTACCATTTCATTTAGTTCCGTCTCCCTGTAGCGCAGAACTGTAGCTCATTAGATTAGGAGCCCTACTTGTACCGCCATCCAGATAGCCACTTAGCATCATAAAGTTCCATGAAATGGGTTTAGCTAATGGTATTGCTGTCAAGTAACATACCATATACATTATTATCTTCACCGGACTAGTGGATTTGGAGGATCCACTTATTTTAGACTGCCCAACTGTATAATACCATCAGTTCTCCCTTAGCAAGTGTTGTTCATAGCCTGAGAGATGAGAAATCTCTTCCGATCCGGTGATAAGTGCCAATCATTCTCTCCTTCATTTTTGTATGAGCATCTTTGCCTCGCGAGATTAAGATTTACCTGATTGAGACAATGAATGTGTGGTCGCATGGGATCATTTCGAGGTTAAAACTACAGTCTACTGACTCTTGGCCCTACCAGATCATATATGAAGAGTAGGAAAGGGGGGCAAGAAAATTAAAGTGACCAATCAAGTCTCAGTATATTGATCACCAATATGTGATTAACCAGTAGTGTTGAGTAGTGCACTCATGGATACAATCTCGAATGCTTTATTTGTGTTATTGGCTGCTGTTCTTCTGTTTCTTTTTTGAAGACCTTAAATTTGTTTTGCGAATAACGACTTGTCTATAAATTATCTGTGTTGTTAATTTGCCTATCTTCTCGTTTATCACTACTACAGTTTACGTTAAATCTAATCATCTCAGTCATACTGTTATTATTATTTTTAATTCTCTTTCAGTCTCTACTGTACATCAATGCCGTTAACTGCTGATAACAAAGAGTATAATAGTCCAGGTGATGGACTTATTATACGTCCAAGTGAACTTGGTCTATTCATTCTACACGTTTCTGGAAATTATCCGCCTACGCATAGTTTAAACTCATTGGAACGTTGTCTGCAAACTTTTGACTTGTAAAAGAAAGTTAATCAAGTAATTTTGTATGAAAACTTTTATTGCAAAAAGAAGCTTACTGTTAATCTGTGCCTTTCACATTGATGAATGAATTGGGAATACATTCTTTATTATCCACTTTAGCATGTCTTGTGCCTGAGATAATATTAGATTTAGATTCGTCCTACTGATACATCTAATATACGACAGTATATGACTCATCTGTCGACTACTACTACTACTACCCTTACAGAAACAAATATAGAAGGCTGCACATGACAAGGTGAAGGTTTATTACTCCATGAGAAAAAGCAATATCATGAGAAATTACAACTAATTATATCTTCACTGTACTAGTTTAAAATTTAAAATATTGTCCTTCGGATTGGATGGCATGCATCGGTACAGACCTGATGACGTAATCCTTAATCTATGTTAGAGTCGAATGTCTGATCAACTTCAAAAATCACTAGAGAGACACTGACTTGCAGTATGTTTGCTGTCCTGATACCTCCAATTTTTCTAAAGTAAGTGTTCTGTTGGGGGGGGGGTTGGATCACTTGAAGATACTTGTACCTCTTGGCTGTAATTCCGTTTTCACTGGAAGACTACCAGTTTCTGCAAACGTGATATAAATTGCACAGATCACTGATCGGATTATTTCCATGTTAATCAACAGGCATAAATAAGAAGAGGTGCACATACTTGTGAATAAGGGTACTCACCTAGGGGATAGTGCTTTTTTGATCCATTCACTTCCCAAGAGGTTTAAATCATGACAATTCGTGAAATTCTTTAACGTAACTTTAATGTCACAAGTAGTTTTACAACACCAACTGAAGCATTTTCGGCAGCGTGACATGTTTCGAAAGCTGATGGGCATCCAAACGGACGCTAAGCTTTTGGAGATTAACGGTATGCCTGAGGCACTATCGAGCTGAAATCGAACTGGATGATTACTTAAGGATACCTCAACATATTTTTGTTTATTCAAAACTCGCACGTTCAAAACTGTCTCGGTCATTTCCTTTGAAGTTGATATCGATCTATTATTGGGTAGATTTGAGTGAGTACTATTAAAGCTTAGGTTTGTAAAAGCCTTATTTCAGCATATAATATCTTTTTAACGGATGCCTCAGCATCGGAATTCAGGATGCGCACTTCGTCCTACAGTGGAACTCGTCGTCTGGATGTACCTGCATATCCAGTGAGTATTGGTGTTTCCACTGGGACTCGAGAACCCAACACCCATCTCTTATAACGCCGAAGCGTTACTCACATTGGTAAGTGAACCACTAAAGCCAACTCTTGTGCAATAGGTATGATTTGAAATTATTTATTCGTCCAGCTTCATTCACTTGCAGCAAGAAGCCAAATCTGATACAAAGTGAGTGCCAAACTGCATTAAATGTAACGGAAGTTGAGTTTTTTTTGAAACTCGAGAGCCTATGCGTCATATCGATGTTATTTTTTTTCTATGGAGCCCTATTCATTATTCGAATAAAGACTGTGAAATTCAGAAGCTATATCTATTTCATGATTGATAATACTCATATTGTCTAGATAGATACAAATAAGGTTGCATTTTTGCTTATAACCTATTATTAGAGACTTAAGTACAATTATGCTTATGAAGGATATAATGTTTTTTAGGATTCTGGGTTTTGGCAGAAATCACTGAAGACCAGGGAACGCAGTGGGCATTCATTTCGTCCTAGTTTAGGACACTTCAGCACTGCACACCCATGGACCCCACCAGTTGTCGGACATGGGACCAAGCTCGTTTACCACTTAGCCATGTAAGCCAGAATTCGACGACCCGTCATTTCGTAACAGAGTGCTACCGTCAGCCAATGCCTTCAATGAGCATCCGCTTCACTTTGACGTGAGGACCCCACTAGTCATGACTTCTCAGTACTTCTCCAGCACACTCATTCATTAGCAATCGATAAGCTGGTGATCGATATGAAGATTGTGGGTTTTTTATGGATTTGGATTGATTCCACTGATGAAGAGTCCTGAACTAGGACGAAACAGCTGTCCAATGTGCTTCCTGGTGTTCGATGGTCTTTCTAACTGGTGTTGGTTCGTGACGAGATCTAGTTAATAATAATAATATTTTCATAAAGCATGAACAGTCAATATTGTTGGATGAATTGAATTCATTACTATTTCTTATACTCTAAATCATCCACAAACATACGAGGCTCAAAATCTAATCACAATTTCTTAGTTTATAACATCATTGACAAATACTAACCATTTTGACCTGTTAGTTCATTGATAAAATCAACAACAAACAACTGGGTCTTGCTCATTCACGCCTAAGCGAATAACATAACACAAATATAAAGGACAAAGTTCATGACCTAATTCATAAATACAGAAGAGGAATATAATTTGTGTTTTGAAAGATGACAAAGCATAAGGTCAAGTCGATCGATAGATAATTACGTAATAGTTATAAGAAAGTGAGACGAATTATATAGTTTAAGCAAGGCGATAGGAAATTTGACCCGGGGATTTAGTGGGAGAAATGTGCGCTATGATAATACACGATTAAAATATTGATTTATGAATGTGACTCACATTTAATTATAAAAAAATATTCTTTACTCATTGTGTGTGTAGTAGATTTAAAGCATATAACATACAAGGAAATAAATTCCTTTCCATGGTCAGTTGTTCTTCCCTAATCCAATATTGTTTCTTTTATCATTATCTGTTCTAACTTTGTATTTCGACATAAATCCCTTCAAAGGTGGTATTCTACAAAATACTATGCAGAAAAATCAACGCATAGTTTTGCACAGAAATGTTAAAAAGGGAGGGAGAGTACGGAAATAAAGTGGTTTGTCGTAGGTTCGCTAGCCGACTATTCCGCATATGGTCTGGTGTTTGATTCCCGGCCGATACATGCCTAACTCTCCCTTAGCCAATAGTAAGCCTCGTAAAGAGGGAAGGTTGAGCATGAGGCTAGCAACCCCACCTCTCAAAAAGATAAATACTACTCTTACTAAAGCTTTAAACCTCAGCCTTGAAGCCTTATTTTCCACTTGGAATGCAATGGTATGAAACAACAGAAATGAAGTAATGTCACTGCGGACAAATGTATAAGTTCAGGGTAAAGAAACTAATTAAATGCCATAGCACTACATTCACTTGAATGTAATCACAAAATAGGGTGAGTTGGACAGGGTGAAAGGATTAAAAAGTAATATAGTTAGGTGGAGTCAGAGAGAGATTAATCACTGAAGCTTTGTTTTTGATCGATTCAACACCGCACACGTGCAATCGGAACGACGCAACACATATACCGGAGATGTAGAAAGTGGCAACAAAGTATTGGTTTTGTAGGTATTTTTGTTTGATTTGGTTAGAGGATTCCATCATGAGCTGACGTCAGTTAGAGAACACTTGGAAAACCAGCTGGGAGTACTGCCAGACAGCTGTTTCGTACTAGTTTAGGACTCTTCATCAGCACACACTCAACGTCAGGGTTCGAACCTAGGACTTTCTGGTTACAAGGCGAGCTCGAACCCCGGTGGGTGTCTCCTGATGAAGAGTCCCATACTAGGCTGGCGAAACAGCAGTCCAGTACTCCCAGCTGGTTTTCCAATGGTTCTCTAACTGACGTCAACTCATGATGAAATCCTCCAACCAGTCAAAAAATAAATATGAGACAAATTGTGAAGCCGTGTAACTAAAACTGATAGGATTATGAACAACAATTAATATTCGAAACCTTGTCATCCAGTTGTTAATACTGCATCGCTGTGTGATCGTTAAAATAAACTTATCTAATATGGGATTACATTCTACTACAGTGCCCAAGTCTAAATAATTTGAAATACAAGCCGAAATTCACATACTTTCATCTTGTTTCATACAAGATTCCTAGATGGGTAATGTTTGTGGGATCTTAAGGTGAGATATGGGGATTAATACAAGGCACTAACTTTATTGATTTCAAAGTGTCTGCGTCATGTTTTAATGAACCCTCTTACCACATTTTTTCTCTTCATCTCTTTCCGTTCTGAGTGGAACACAAAGTTTGAACTTCTGAGTTTTGAATTTTCCGTAGTGTTATTGTTTTTACGGGGTTTCACATCCAACTTTCCCTTTTTTCCGAGATTACTAACGTTTTTGTTGAGGTTTAGGAATGTGTCGACCGGGATTCGGACCTAAGCCATGTGCTTGTGTGGCGATTACTCTACTATTGAACTAGTGACATACTCATTTCACATGAATCAGTCACCTTTCTAAATATGCCATCACGATATATTAGTTGGCAGTCTTCTCTACACGTTAAATAATTAACTCATATATTCGTATTGAAATACTTCACAGTAAAAAAGAAGAGAATGAGCCTGTGTTGGGGAAACGCCACGAAAGTAAACAAGTAGGGAATGAAAAATTCAAGTGAGTATAAAAATGTGGAAATGGGTGCGTACTGCTAAGGTCTATTGTCAGTGATAATGATGACAATGTTACCTCACAGAGGCCTTCAAAAGAAATGTCGCATCACAAGTATTTATTCACGTAATGATGTAGGTTGACGAAAAGTAGGCGAATTTTCTTCTCCACTTTCTCTTCCTTCACTATTAAACAAAATGATGTTGCTGCATATTTGAAATGCCTTATTTTGGAGGTAAGAATCACACCTTTAAATATTCAAAGGTTTCATAGAAAACAGTATGTCGACAGCAGTGCTGATATCATTCCCTTGAGATCTTTGAAGAAAAAATGGCAGCATATTTCCGAATAAATGTGGAACTCGATGAGAAATGCTGAACAAACAGATGAGAATATGTTTCGAGAAATGCAATGAAGAAGAAAACGTGTAACCCACGGTGGATGAAGATTAGTAAGTTAAGACTAGGCTTATGTAATAAGAAAACTGGATGTTAGTGAAAGAGCATCGATACAAGTATCCTCATAAACTGCTTAGTAGGTGAAAAGTGGAAACTGAAGGTTGGTTAGGGAAATGATGTCACTAAATGTTATACGACATATGGACAAAATAGTATTATTAACAAAATATTGATAACTTGGAATTATGCCCAAGGTAGAAAAGGAGAGGATGGCGAAGTTTCTTCTCTGTACACAAATTGAGGTTGTCCATCTGAATCACTAAG